ATTATTATAAAACGTAATACTTATGCTCCCACTAGCTTTGACATGTATTCAGAAACAGCTTAACTTTCAGAAAACAATACTTATTGAATTTCTTAAGTTCATGTTTCTAATACTTAGTGCTTTGATAATCTTTTATCAATGCTTCTTGAACTTATACACCTTTGCCTTAGATAGTTCATATGTGTGTCTAAACAATTAAGACTAATTGCCAAACCTCACAATTCAAATCATGGAAAGGGATACCGTAACCATAATCGAATTCGAGAATGCAATTTTACAATCACTATCTTCTTAAAATCTTTCTTAGTGAAAGCATTTTCTCACAATCATTTTCATGAAGGAGGAAATCTTATGACACTTAGATTTAAACGGTGTATGTGTTCCTATCCATATGAATTTATTAAAACCAAGGTTTACGGTAAATTCAAACTCATATGGACCGAACTTTCTTAATCTTGATTTCTTGCCTTATGGTAGCACGGCTGCCCACCATGTATTCCAAGTAGTTAAGCAACTCACATTTTCCTATCAATTTACTGTCCATTGATCAAGGTCCTTGCCTTTTATGCATTCAAATGAGAACTCATAGGACTCACATGCATAATTAACTCAATTGGAACAACACATAAACAAAATAATGTCAACACGATATGTTGTTAACCTCAACTCGTGTGCTAGTGATGATCAATAAGGTTTATTTGATTTGTTCTTGAAACCTTTCAAGACCATTAAGACTCCCACTGACTCCTTGACATATGAGATTCTCTTGTAATAAACATTTCTTGACAAACAAATATTCAAGAGTTAGTGTAGTTTTTATCAAAACACTTCATAAATTGGTCCTAGTTGGTCTTTGTCTTATCCAAGACATCACAACTTTCCACATTTGATGAACGTTATAAACCTTTTAATACTTGTCACTCATTGTCACAATCTTAACTCTAAGACTTGTTTTGGAACGAAGTATGATTGACTTCTTGATTTAACCATTTCTTGAATTCTTGATTCCTCTTCTTAAACGTACAATTGTACTAAGACTCACTTAGAGGATCATTTGAGATATGGTTCTTAATCATTAAGACCTATCATAAAACATAAGAGGTACTCTCCCTTCTTCTTAGAATGGAGAACCTTTTATCTTTCTGCCTACTTGATTCTTCTTATTCGTTCTGCCATTGATTTAAACCTTTTTAATCAATTCCGAATTACACTTAATCTTATCATATTTACTAAACCTTTAGTAAATCATGACGAATATCTTTGTTACTCTTATGGTGGACTTGATCAACACACAACTTTGTGTGCTCGATCTCCTAGTCCTTCACTTGACACTTTGTCAACGAATTAGTCTAATTTCCAAATATGAAATTTCTCATTCATCATGCAACCAAGTTGCGTGATTCCAAATTTCTGTCCAATTGAAATTTGGGCGATGAGAAACTCTCCTATTTGGTAAATTCTCGACATTTCCATAAATAAGAATCATATCCATTCGTTGTAGAAATATGTAAACATCAATTTTATAACGATTTCATTGCAAGGAAATAAACAAATAAATAAATAAGTCAAACAAAATTTATTTTATTTATAAAAGCAGCGGAAAACATTTGTCCTTACAATGCAAAATCTATTGAAAACCATGTAGTCGAATATTCCTAACAATTCTATCATAAATATATAAGCTCAAAATCTAATATTCAAGTCCATGCGATCGAGATCCATTTATTTGTGATTAGACTCATTTTGTTCTTTCATCAAGCTTCCTTTCTTTTCACCGATCCTGCCAAACATTCAAATGCAATCTTATCACATCATGTATTAACAATCAATGAATAGGAACTTAATGGAGTTAGATAGTGGATTTTTACCTGAAGCACAGCCATACTCTTTGACTCTCCCATCTTTGGAATCTTCAGGCTCTTGGGGCAGACTTCTATCCAACGCCCTTTCTCTTGGCAGCAAACGCAGGTCGCTTCTCTTAGAACATCCTCGGAAGCATCGTCGGTTGACTTTCCTAACAAATACGTTCCATTGCTTCGCCAAATCATCTCTGATTCAGCAGCAATGAGCATGTAAGTTAGGTCAATGAGGTTATCGTCATGATATATCATATGATACTTTCTTTTGAACTCGTTATATGATTCAGGGAGTGACTGCAGAACCCAGTTCACAGCCAACTCATCGGGATATGACACACCCAACATAATCAACCTATCGATGTGTAATTTCATTCCTAGAATGTGGGCACACACGGATTTACCATCTTCATGTTTCATTTCCAATAGGGCCTTAGTGATATTGAACATTTCAATTCTTCGATCTTGTGGGTTGGGGAGAACAATTGGCAGAGGTGGAGGAAGTGAAGCATGATTTCTTGTTCCTCGATCGAATTGTGGAATACCATCTTCATGTGGAATGCTTGTTCCACGGGATTTAGGAAGACCATAGTTGTCGAACTTTGACATCTACAAAACAGGAGAAACAAATTCAAGCTAGTTGATTGATTGAGTCCTTAGTAAATCACCAAAATGAAATACTAAGGCTAGGACCCAACACAATATTCCACAACTCGGGAGAGGGATGTCGTAACCCTAATTGCAGAATATTTGAAGGTAAGTGAATGACGATTCACTAATTTCCACCACGAAAAACGAAAAAAGAAATTTAAGTTTTAAATCTATGAAAACTCCTAGATTCTTTGAGATTCATTGAACTTTCAATGGCATGTTTAAATCTCGATATGCCCCTCTTGTTTTTGACTGGGATGCTGAGGATCACAAAGCGGGTGTGAATAACCATGCAAACTTACATGGTGCCCTCACATGTTACAGTCACCTATTCGATGTGCCGGTAAACCACACACGCTCCACCGAACTATGACAAACATTGAGTCACCCTTTGCTACCTTTGCTTAAAACCATTTAGTGTGCCGATAAACCACACACGCTCCACTAACGTCTTCTCAAGGGCACAAAGTGTAATTTCATGGAATTGCATCAATTCACTTTTGCCTAAGTAACTAAGATTGGGAACTTGTAAAACATTTAGTTACTTTTGTACTTCATTATACTTATAATGGAAAGTTTTGTCCTATCCTACCCGTTCGGCTAACGACCCACCACTAGTCAAGAGTGCGGTGGGTAAGAGGGGATACCCATTCAATCGCCATTTTATAGGCAATTTCCTTAAACACCCCTTATAGACCAACTTCGTGAATGAGGCCTACTAACGGTAAGACTGACTTTTACTCATACATATATATAATGTTAGACTTTTAATGTTATATATAGTATAGGGTGTATTTTACACTTTTAAAATGTTAGGTGGTCAAATATAACAATTATACTTATAATTGTAAAGCAAAACTTTTATGGATTTATTAAACTTCTTTTAATTATACACCTTAATTACTTAATAAACCATAAGGGTGTGATTTGAACATTTCAAAACAATACTAGGGTTTTAGAATTTAACATTCCTAAATTAAACTTTTAATCAACTTTTAAATTCCAAAACTTGAGGGCAAGTTTTGAAATTTTCAAAACATTAGGTTTTAGAATTTAAATATGCATCAAAATTAAACTTTTAATCAAAACTTAAATTCCAAAACTTGAGGGCAAGTTTTGAAACTTTTCAAAACAATTTAGTTTTAATTTCTCTTAAAAAAATTTCCGAATTTATGACATGTAAATTAAAATTTTAAATATTAAAACTCTTGATTTAATAATTATCTTGAATTAGACTATTAATTTAATTATTAAATCATAAGGGATTATCTAAATCATGAGGATGATTACCATTTATACATTTAAGATATCCTAATCCCTTAATTATCTCTCTAGAATTCGAAATTATGGTTAGGATAATGCAAAATCTATAATTACCATATATAACAATTAGAGGATAATTACAAGATATGGGATAATCCAAATCCCTAAAATTTAGGATCTTATCTTGGGGAGGAGGCTAATTTCGAAAATCAAGGGATTAAAACAAACCCTATATTTCAAAATTTAAGGGTTTAAGGAAAGGATTTGAAGATCTTATTCAAACTCTTGCAAATTAGGGTTTGCAAACCCTAATCTCAAAAAACCCTAGCCTCCTAGGGTTTATTGGCAATAAACCCTAAAATGTCAAGTTCATACAATTGAATAAACTAATTGAAAACAAGTTAACCAAAGGCTCTGGTACCACTGATGGGTTTTATACAAACAATCCTATGTGTACATGCAACCCTAGTATTGGATCTATGTTTTCACTATTAGATACACAACATTATGAACACATAATGAAACCCTAAAGATGATTGCTATTTTCAAAATTAACCAAGAAGGTTAGATTACATACCTCTTGTTGTTATATTGTAATAACAAATTGAATCTTCAAACCCTAAGTTTTGAAAGCAAGCACCACAAGTGTAGTGCCTCTAATGGCTCACAAACACCAAGAGCAAATGGAGAGGTAATAGATAGAGAGAAGAGGTATAGAATTTCGTCCCTAGGAACCCTTAGGAAGGCATGGACGAATTCATGAGCCTTATGGGTCTTTATATATGTGTATAGATTAGGATTTCAGTCATTATCTTTATCTAGTTGCTTGCCCACCAAGTAACAATAAGATAAGCCTTGAAACCCCATATCTTTGGACGATTTCAAGGATACATATCCTTTAGATTTCGTCCACCCATATTATAGGATAATCCTTACCCTATTTTGCAACTATCATATAATTACAATTCAACCCCTCTAGTTTAATTAATTACACTTGATCACAAAATTAATTCCTAATTAATTATTAACCAATATTAATTAAACGAATATGATTTCTCCTTTAATATATTATTCTTATAATATATTAATAAATCATAATAACCTCTTTCTCTATTATTTCTCCAGTCAAGTTGCTTTGGTGAAGGCAACCCAAAAGGACCATGCACAATCGAGTCAAGTATTTACCAAATATGGTTACTAGCTTAGACACTAATCCAACAGAAAATCCACATGGGTCTTCAATTAACAACCCCTTTCATCCTACTCGTACTCTCCATCTATTCTTCAACTTCTTCCTATGCAGACCTTACAACCTTCGTTTACAAAGGTTGTGCTAACGAAAAATTTCAAGACGGATATGGTATCTCATCGCAAAACCTTAAATCACTCTACTCCAATCTCATATCCCAATCATCCACTACCAATTTCTATAACACCACCACCGAAAATGCCCAATTAACAACCTCCATCACTGGAGTTTATCAGTGCCGAGGAGATTTATCCAACTCTGATTGCAACACATGCATCAAAAAAATCCCTGAAAGAATTGAGAAAGTATGTGGTGGAGATACAATCGCCGCCATATTTCAGCTAGATGGTTGTTATATGAGGTATGAAGTTGTCGGGTTCCCGCCGACGTCAGCAATGGAGCTGCTGTATAAACAGTGCGCGTCGAATCGGGCTAGTGGGTCTGGATTTTATGAGAGGTTGGAATCGACGTTGGTGCAGATTGAAAAGGGGATTGGGAATGGGAAAGGGCATTACGCTGCAGACTATCAATCAGTTGTTGTTTTGGGACAGTGTGAAGGCGATTTGGGGAACGCGGATTGTGTGATTTGTGTGAAAATTGTGGCGGAACATGGAAGCAATGTTACATCAGGTACACATATTACCCAAACGGAGTACCCGGATCACCCGGATCAGGTAACATCATCTCTATCAGCTCAATCCAATATTGTTTTATTAAAAACGGTTGGAAACGAATCGTATCGGTTTTTGCATACCTGAATGGTTCCTAGGGCAAAAAGTGCGATTACAATGCTGCAGTGAGTGTTGTATTCGATTCCGACGGAGTCGTTGCCGAGTTTCAATCCGGTGGCCCATCCGGCTACTCCGACGACATAGGCGGAAGCTTGGTAGGTGACATGGATCAGGTATTTCCGTGCTCCTTCGAAGATCCTGTGGCGTACCATCTGAGGTCATGTGGCGACGGTGGAAGCGCTGAGACATTCAACAACGATGCCAAGAGAGATATGGTAGAGATTTGCTTTGATTTTTTTAGTAGTGTTGTGTGTAGGAAGGAGACGGAAAGAATAGGGTTTCGATTTTCTGATGTCGGCTTTGTAGAGAAGATTAGGGTAACATCTTTGATAAGGTAATACCGTGTATACCTATAGTATGTTACTATAAGTTTAATATTATTTTAAAAGGAAAATGATTTAAAAAGGTAATGAAGCTTCAAAAATGATTTAAAAAGGTAACATCTTTGATAAGGTAATACCGTGAATAGAGTTTCGATTTTCTGATTCAGCCGAAGTACACTTACGAGACACGATACTTTGATCAGACTCTTGATTATTTCAGCTTCAATGATCTTCCCAAGTTCCAACAACGTTATCTCATCAACTCCGATCACTGGGTGGGCCCAAACCCTAATCGTTTGGGACCAATCTTCCTTTATTGTGGCAACGAAGGCGACATCGAATGGTTCACTGCCAACACCGATTTCGTTTGGGAACTCGCCCCTCGTTTTGGTGCCATGGTCATCTTCCCCGAAGTAAAAGCCCTAATCACTCTACTCTACATTAATTTCTTCACTTGCAGACCTTTAATAATACAATTTTATCAAAAGCTGCGTGATTTGATCTAGCATCGATATTATGGTGAATCGATGTCACATGGAAGCCAGAAAGAAGCATACAAGAACGCTTCTACTTTAGCCTATCTAACAGTCAAACAAACACTTGCTGATTACGCTCTTCTCATCACCGATTTGAAGAAAAAATTGTCAGCCGAAGCGTCACCTATAATCTTATTCGGTGGATCATACGGTGGAAGTAAGATCTTTTCCAACAATTTCAACAAAAATTAAACAAGCACTTGCTGATTACGCTCTTGTCATCCCATTTACCTGAAGTACCTGGTTACCACAATGTTTTAGTTGAACACATGTGTATTTTGTTGGTATTCTATGTACAAATAGTAACACTAATGGTATTTTTCGTACTAAAAAAACAAAAATGGTATTTTTTGAACATTTGAAAATCGAATAACCTACAATAACCGGTAAAATGGTATTTTGTGTACAAAAAAAACAACAATGGTCTTTTTTGTATACTTTTGAAACTTTGTTACCTTTTTAAATTATTTTTCCTATTTTAAAATGAGGTAATGTGTATTGTACCTCTTAATTTTCAAGAAAGAGGCAATATGTTTAATAATATAGTAAAGAAGATAATAGATAATAGATATATCTCCACAACTACTTATATGTATCGCTTTTCTTATTCAAAATTAGATATTATATAGTGGATACAAGAAGAATCCCAAAATCTTTGGGAAAATTAAGATGAAATGTATGAAAATTTAGAAAAACCAAATTGAAATGATGAAAGTTAATATGAAAGACAAAATGAAAGAGTATAGTAATCATTTTTATCAAAATGAACCTTTGAGCAAGAAATACTACCATAGAAACACTTGTATATTTTTGGATTTGGTCCAATATGTTTTTTTTTTTTTTTAAATTTCTCCGTTTATTTTTTTTTTCTTGAAACACAATAACCATTTGACTCGGCAGCACAAAGTTCATTCCCAAATTATAATTTTTTGTCAATTAACATAGGCTTATTGTGTTTTCGAGATAATATTTCACATATGGTGTATGCATATAATTCAAAAATAATTATAACAGTATTATGAATTAACATGTACAACAACTTCATTCAAAAATTAATAAATAAATTCCATGTAACCATGTAATAATACCATGTGCTACACACTTTGTTGTTGGTTTGTGTAGAGCTGGTTTCGTTTGATGTAATCAATAATTTCATCTGATGTCAAACACTTCACTGATAAACCTTGTGAAATGCAATCTCTATGATCACAAACAAACAAAATTAAACTCCAAAAATTATAGAATTTTATTGGATTGGAATTTGGATGCCTTACTAAAGTTGAGCTATCAACCACTTGGATGTTATTCTGCATGATTCAGATTACAAAAAACGGATAAGCTCAAGAATATGCAACAAGATCGGTGAAAAAACATAAATGCCCCTACTTTTTATTCTGTCAAAATGTCTGTGTAAGATGATTTTCTCAATGTCTTGACCTTCTCTACGGATACAAACAACACCATAATCTCTGCATATACTCATCACCTAAAATAAAATGTCAACAAAAACAAATCATAATTTAAGATTTATAGAATTACTGATGAAAAATTACACAAAAATAATAATTTACTTATTTACCTAGTCAGGTATCCAAGCTCCAGGAATGCCAAATGATTCTAGCAGATCAGAGACACAAACAAGCATCACCTTTAAAGATGCTTCAATTCAGAAAACAAAAAAATATTAGAGCATCTTGAATCCCAACAAAGGTCTCAGAAAGGGTAATTTGGCCATAATAGGGTGCACTTTGTACCATTAGGTATGCGTTAAATGCATATCTTGCTAATTCTAAGCATGAAAAAAATAAAAAATGAAAAAAATAAAAAATTGACAATTTGTGTAAACCCTAAAAATCATAAAAATGCATAAAAAAAATACTTAGAGATCACAAAACTTTTTTTTTGAAAAAATCGCAGCTTTTTATACAAAATTGGTGAAAAAAAAATTTGAATTTTTTTTTTTTTACAAAAAGAAAATTTGATTTTTTTTTTCCAGCGAATTTTAACAAAAACCTGCGATTTTTTATTAAAAAAATTCAAAAAAAAAATGTGATCTCTAAGTATTTTTTTTTATGTATTTTTATGATTTTTAGGGTTTTTTTTTTTTTATTTTCCATAGAACCTATATATATATATATATATATATATATATATATATATATATATATATATATATATATATATTTAAAACTTGTAAGAAAAGCAGTTGTATAAAAGTATTAAAAGAAAAATATAACCTAAGTTAAAACATTGTATTAGAAAAACCGGAAAAAGATTCCTAAAAATGTTATATGAATTATAAAAAGTCTTAAAAAAGAAATTTATTAAAAATGTTATATGTTTTTATGGGGGGGGGGGAATACAAGTTAAACATGCCAATTATCATATCAATCACATGTGATTGATAAACCGCATGCACAAGGATTTATTACACTGTCAACTGCTTTACCAAGTACGATACTGTAATTGGTTTTCCAAAACGTCTCTAATTGTTCAAAGCTTTTCTCAAATTGTCTCTTGCGATGTATGTTTTATTCAAACTCAGTTACAACAGCATTTTAAACAAAAGTCTTCTGTATTTATATTGTTTTATCAAAGTTATAATCAAAACTTGTTTATGAACGATTTTCAAGGGTTTCTAAAGGTTTTCAAACTTATTTTACAAAAGAGTACCAAGTCATGATTTTCTTAAGTATAAAGGTTTTCCAAAGTTTTTGATCAAAGTTTTCTTCCATGTTTTTATACTCCTACTTTGTTAGATACTACTGCTTCGTTACACTTCTACTTAGTTAATGCTCCTACTTAGTTAAATACTACTACTTTGTTAACGCTTTTACTTCGTAATACTCTCCTACTTATTAACACTTCTACTTCACGATATGCTCCTACTTCACGATACGCTTCTACTTATTAATACTCCTACTTCACGATATGCTTCTACTTCACGATACGCTTCTACTTCACAATACGCTTCTACTTGTTAAACACTTCAACTTCGTTAAATGTTTCATATTGGTTAAATGTATGCATGTGCTTGTATAGATATATATATATATATATATATATATATATATATATATATATATATATGAATAATGTTTAAAGGACTTAGGAAAGCTAGTTCGTCCTGTTTCCTTTTCCTCGTTTGGATGTGGTCTGGTGGGATCGGATATCCGTCCGAAGGTCGTTTGATCATTAATTATATATTATGTATACATGTATAGACATATAGGTTTACATCGATCGGTTTAATTATAAGTCTCTATCATTAGTCCAATATTTACATCAGAACTCACTACATGAGATGCATCTTCAGGACACAACCTTCTTCGTTGTCTAGCTGGTAACCAGAGTCTCCTGTAGGGAGAGCGGGCATTGTGTGTATAGATCTATACGGGATTGACACCCCCACACCCTGACTGCTAGCTACAGTCCACGACCTACGAAGCCAAGGGGTGACAAATGTCACATTCTTTCTGACGCTTGCAGGGCGTCAAGTTCTCTAGTGTCTATCAGTATGGTTACGAGTATCTCGGAGTTACCTTATAATTCATGGCCTTAAGGTAACGGGAATTAACATTGTATTCACTGTTTTTAGACCTTGCTAAACGTATCATTCAATTGATACTGTCTGGGGTCGGTGTTCACTGTTTTTAGACCTTGCTAGACACATCATTCATTTGATACTGTATGGGGTCTGTGACTCCTTTTGTTAGACTGAGCCAGGCGTGTCGTTCATTCGATACTCTCCTGGAGTCTATGATTTCTTTGCCTTAGTCAGCAGTATTTTTTGCTGAGGCATATGATATTTTCCCTTAGTACTTTTACTAGTAATACTCTCATACTTTCTTTAAAGTCAAATACCGTATTTTGATAATGATAATATTTCAGGGAAATTCTCTTTAAAACATAACACTGTCGGGTTTTGGTAGAAGACTGCTTTTATTTAGAAAATATAAGATTTTCTGGAAAGAACTCTAATACACCGTTAATTCTAAACTATTACTTTTTATAAAGTTATTTGAGTAAAATGACACTAAATACTTATGAACTCACCAACATTTATAAAAATGCTGATACTCGTTTTCAAATAACTTGTATTCTCAGGTCAACAATAGACAGGTACATCCCAGGAGCTTTTGGTGAAGACAATTTAGTACCGAGCTGCACCTATATTATTACTTGTATTATTTTGATGTTTTTATGCAATGTAAACTATGTAAAACTATTACTATTAATGCAATGGTTGTTGTACTTGGATTACTATACTGCATATGTTGTGATACTTGACATGACGTCATCCACCCTAGAACGTTTCCGCCGTTCCGGTTTTGGGGTGTGATAAGGATGAAGGTACGGTGAGATGTAGTGGAAGTTATCGATTTTCACCATCTTCTTCACCAGTCAATTTCGTGGTGGCCTTCCAGGAGTAAACTACTTCTTCCCCTGTTCCTTCCTATGGCTAATGCCATCGATCCAAAATCACTGAAGGAGAAATCCGAGTAGGGTAATCGTACGAGGGGGATGATTAATCGTCGGGATCTGAAGGCAATTTGAAGAGGTTGGGATGGGAGATTACTGCTAGTAGGAGTGTTAAGTGATGAGATGAAACTTTGTGATAACTTGTGGAATCTTGATTGCTAGATAGAAAAGCCCTATGGAAGTTTGTTTTCAGATCCGATGAAAAAATGGCACTAGGAGAGAGAGAGAGAGAGAGAGAGAGAGATCATTTAATATTAAATAATTATATATATATATATATATATATATATATATATATATATATATATATTAAGTAAGTCAAAACTTCATAAATGGTCATTGTGATTGTGAAATGACAGAATTGCCCTTCATTTAACGGCCAAAAGCTAACGGATTTAGCAAAAAGAACCATCTGGTAAAAGTTTTGAAACTACATGGATCATATGTAAGGTTTTTAAAAATTAAAGACTAAACTTTAAATTTTTGAAAACCACAACGACGATTTATGAAGTTTTGTCTAAGTTTTATTAGGATGGAACATATGGATTCCATATGAGGTCTGAACTTTTGCAACCGAATCTGAAAATATCCCGCTCAAACTCAAAGCCTCGTCTGAAAAAAACAAAAAAGAACACGGCGTTTCCCTTTTTGCCCAACCCCTACCCTCGTCTCTCTTCTTAGCTTCCACTCTCTTTGCATCTGCATCTCCGACGTCACGGAGTACCTCGACGCCCTCGCTCAGCTGTTCGACGTCGTACAGCACGCCGGAGCCTCCTGATATCGCTCCCACCACCAAGGTCAGACACGCCAAGCTCCGACAGCGCCGCACTCTCCAGCGCCGGATCCAAAAATTTGAGCTCAAATCCGCGCTTCACTAACAAATAAATCAGGAAAAAAGAGCGCCTTGATGGATTTGGTTCATCGTCGGTGAACATGACGTTGGAGAAGTTGTTCGTTCAAATCTTCGATCGCAAAGACCGGATCATCGAACAATCCCAGCGGCAAACGCAGCGTACAACGAGCAAATTGCTTCTAGGCTTCTTATCGATGAAATTACACCTCCTCCAGGCCTTCTGAAGTCGAGATTTAACTCTAGTTCTTCGAATTTCATGGTAGGCATTAAATTATCGTTTTAAGTAGGCATCTTCTGTTAAATTTCAGATTAAAGCAGGGGATTGTAGTAGTTTTCAAGGTAGAAACGTAGGTTATACATGCATGCTTCCCCTTTTTATCTGCACACCGTGTTTAGAGCCTTGATCGCGTTGTTTTCTCATTGAAATTCATAGGAGGCCATAATGATAATGATATGCTTACTTCTATTTATGTATTTTGAAGTTTTAAAATCACCGATTTTGAATTGTTTGTCAATGGGCATGCGAGATTGGTAGTCAATGTGGAAAGCTCTCGGAGGGAGCTACTAATCACTCAGAAGTTTTCTCCATGTTTATATAGGTTTTATTATTATTATTATTACTATTATTATTATTTTATTTTTTAGTTAGGAAGGGGTTCCTTGATGTAGGAGTAGAATTAGCTACAAATTGATGATTTATGAGGTATAAACCCTAAACCCAGGAGCATAGTAAGAACAAGGAGCATCAGAATTTTACACCGTGTATTATATAATTTTGACTCCTGTTACATTATCCTTCTGCCAATGATATGTGGTATTATGGTGTTATTTTACAGAGTTGAAAAAAGAAGAGATCATCTCCAAGCTCTTAGTTGAACATCCATGGGATTCTGTTCACTATTCAACTGGTAACTCTTTTCTGTATGACAGAGACAAACCAGTTGTTTCCAATCCAGGGGTAATGGAAACCCATTCTCCTAACAAAGGTGGCAATGTGACCAATGGGATTGTCCTGATGATGACATAGGATGCAGCTTAAACCCTCAGAATGAGAATGAGATGGATGCTTGAATATCAAGTAGTTATGCTGCACCAGACACTTCACTTTCAAGGAAAAAAGTTTGAGAGCTTCAAACCAGTGCAAAAACTGCAGCTAAAAGCTGTTTAGGTGATGAAAGTAGAACATCCATATTTCTTTTACTGAAGACCAGGTATCCGAAAGTGATTTCCATCAAGTGAGTGACTCAAGATAAGTGCCCTTCAGAAATCAGAACCAGGCAAATGCAATGATATCAGTGGGGAGCAAATTCTTTGATGTTTCTAATACCAATGATAAGGAGGAATTAGATGGTCAACTGGTCAACAATCTGGTCATTCTGATGGTGTTATGGAAGGAGTCAATCTCTTCGGTGACCGGCAAGACACAAGATACACAAAGGCTGAGGTAGAAAATTTCTTACAATCCAAAAGAAGGTAGTATAGGTGTAGTTTGTTATTCTATTGGAGTTGATGCCTCCTACAAGTTACTTACTAGATGCAGTGTAAATTTCTTGACACTTTTCAAGTGTGTAGTGATAGAGAATTAGGGAGACACAAGTTATCTGTAGCTGCTACAAGGTCCAGGTCTAGGGTTGGTGCTAACCAGGTAATATCAAAATTCATGTATATATTTTTTTCAATTTTATTTTGGGAAGCAATTTCTATAATTGTTTTGTTTTTTTTTTTTTCTGTAGATATTACAATTCTGGAACAAAAATAAATCCATTTCAGCAAAATCAGTTTCTTTTGTCATGGACAGTTCTTGCAAGTTGTGGAAAATAGGGAACGAAAACAATGCATGCACATTGAGGTGTGTATTAGTATTTAGTTATGCTGACAGAATAAGTTAGTAGATATAATTTCTTGTAACTAATTATGTTTAATTTTTGTTAAAAGCATACCTAAGTTAAAATTCACGTATGCTGGAAACAAGACAAAAGAATATGATGATCTTGCAACGAAGTACTTTTTATACATGTTTGGTAAGCCTCTAGTTAGCAATGTTTCTTTTTTTTCATTTATTTACTTATTATCTATATATAGCATCCTACTTTCATTTCTTCTTGGTGCAACATTGAAAAATCTACCCAGTTATGGTAATATCATCTAATTTTCATTGTCATAATTGGGTAGAATGTTCAAAGTACAATGTCTTAAAAGAGACTAATTTCATCATTAATCAGTTGAAGTTTTTGTGTAATATGTTTTTTTTGACCATTTATCTGGTTTTGATACTAGATGGTGAAATTGTTGTGGGAAATGGAAATGGGCCCATGTTGTAAATTCTGGAAACAAGTTGGATCATCATGTCACCATGTCCATGTGCACCTAAGTAATCACAGATGGTTTAGCCTTAAAGCAATCTTCTGAGTTCTAGCTGTATTTGATTCAAATAAAGTTAAGTTAGTAGTTAGTAGTCTGCTTTCCATTCCAGGAAGAGAAAGTAATGCAATCCCTGAATGGATTCTGTTCTGTCAATCGAAGTCTGCATGGTTTGGATATGTATGAGAACCCAATGGTGGAGGATAGTATGCTTTCAGAAAGCCAGATGGATCATAAATCCATTGAGAAGCAATTACCAATGGAGAATGTAAAATCAAGCAATTCTACTGAGATGAGACAATGAATGGTGGTTTTCCAAGAAGAGAAAGCCAGATGGGTTGTTGGGATATTCTGCTTCATCAAAAGCTGCAAGGAGGACAAATTTTCATGATGACTTTGCAAAAGATGAGATGAGAGCGTAAGGCTGCAAAACAAGGAAGATGAAGAAAAAAGCATTCAAGATTGAGAAAGAAAATAATACAAGAGACATGGAATTAAAGAAACAGGAGGAAATGAAGAAAAAAAAAAGCTGATGTGGCAGCAAGGAAAAAAACCAAAGGGAGGAAAGAAAGAAAGATTAGCAGAAAGCTTAGCACAACATGAAAAATCATATCACAAAGTGGGAAACATGTTGCAATTGCTGGAAGTAAAAAGGGGATCTGAAAATATAAGACAAAATGCTTTTGATGAAAGAAATGAGAAAAGCTTAGCAGCAGATGTCCTTGTCCAACAAGTTACATCTGTTCCTGTTCCTGTTCCTGAAAAGGTATGTATATCCCTATCCTTATAATAGCAATGTACTTTACTCTTTTTTACCAATATAGGGGCATTGTTATACTTTTTTTTACCCTATATTATATGAGTAAAGTACATTGCTATTCCCTGCAACTTGTGGTACTACCTGTATTTCCCTTCCTACCATTGGCATGACCAAGATTATAGTAATCTGCATAGGAAACAAAAATATAATATTTGAAAAGTCACCTGGACAAGTTGGAGCAGTTGAAGAAAATTCATACCACATTTCCCCATATCAATGTTCTGATGATGAAGATGGAGATGAAGTGATGAATGTATTCCATCATGGGCCAGGTTTTATCATCATCTTTATTCTTTGTTTTTTTTTTTTTTGTATTTCTATTTTTTAATTTTGGGTTCATTTTCTACAGAACAAACGGCTGTGGCCATGGTTCTGCCATTGAAGCAGGAGCTTGACCCTGAAACAGTATTTCCAACATGAAGCTTTTGCAGTGTGGACGAAGGTAACTAATAACTTTTTCTTTGTTGATCGGGTTGGGGTGGGGCTAATAATGTAACTTTTTAAATATAAAGATGCTTGATTTGATGTTCTAATAATCATTGGTTATGTGCTTTTGCAGCTCTCCTGCCTCCGGGGCTACACCCACAATATTTTGTTGATGTCAGCTGCTAACTAACAAAAGGTATGGCTTTCTTTTTCACACTTTAGTCAAATATTTGAGTGAAATGCAAATTTGGTCCTTGTGATTAGTGATTTCTTTTGGTTCAGGTCTAAAAAGGAATTTTTTTTTTTTTTTTCTTTCATTTTCGTTTTGGTTCCTTTCATTCACACTGTGAGTTTAAGTCCGTTAAACCTTTTAAAATGACCATCTTCCCCTTGTTATGTAGCTTTTTGCTAATAATAATAATAATAATTAATGGAAAACACAAGATGGAGGGCATGATGGTCATTTTAACAGGAGTCAACAGACTTTAATACCCAAGGAGCTCCGAAAGTGTCATCATCATCCTTGCATATGCCCACATTAAGCATTAAGTGTGTTCCTCAACACTCAGATCGGTGGGTGTCATACCACATTTGTATGTATTGCGCGGCTTGCTTACCACACTCCTGGCCCCGGTCGGTGTCGTGTTCATTGCACCACCATGATGACATGTCACCACCGCAGGGTGCGATATAGGGGAACACTTATCAGTCTTCAAAGTGAATTGTCCGTACATTTAAGGATCAATTTTACATGAAAAAGTCATTAACATTTCATATAGATTTTAGCTCAACGTTTTGATTCTTCCCACTTCATACCGACCATTTTTAAGTTGTAAGAACCCTAAACCACACATAATTGCCCTTCACCAGCAATTTAGTGTTTCAATACCATTAAAGGAACATTTCCCGCTCATGATTAGAGTTTCAAGTATAATTTTTCCTTGGGCTTAACCTTAATTTCATTAAAACCTTCTCAATAAATTCAAAACATAACAATAACTAAGGGTATTTAAAATTACAATAGAAATCAATAAATTCCTCCGATTCGAGAATTCTTTGTCTACGGGTTTTTGTGCCGAGATCAATTCGGTAAATATATTTCGCCAAAAGATTGTAATCTGTTTCGCAATCACATATTTCCAATTTTCTTTCCACTTATTGGTAGGTACCAACCTCTTTTTGGTATAGACACTTCAACGATTTTGTTTTCGACTTTCCTTCGTCCTCTAAAATATACAATATTTATATGATACATATATAAATTATGTCTTTATTTTTTTCCATCTCGACCGCATGCATTGTAGTATGTTGTAGTTTTTATTTTTGGCCAATTAACCTAAACTATAGGATGATTTTTATAACTTAAATAAAATAGACATGTGTCACATCCTAATTGGTTCCTACAATTATAACCCTAATATGCATTTTCTGTTGATCTTGAATATATATATATATATATATATATATATATATATATATATATATATGTATGTATATACTAGCCGTCTACCCGCGCAAAGCAGCGGACGGAGAATAATTTGCTTCGGCAACTAATTTTTTTTTAGTGCATTGTTTTTTAGAGGGTTAATGCAAAAATAAGAATTCATTTACTCTTAGTTGTTCATTACAGCAGTCTATCTTTAATACAACTATTTTTTTGGCATTTAAAATTGTTTTAAATGGAAGTAAAAAGGTTTTTAGAGGTTTAAATGCAAATAATAACAATTTAATTTTTATTATTTATTCATACCGATGCCTACTTTCATTATAACAAATTTTTATGCATTTAACCCTATTTTAAATGGAATTCTAATGCTTTTCCCACCATTCTCAAAGCTTTGTTCCATTCATAAATCATTTATAGATTCGGAATTTCTGAAGATAATATCCATTAAAAATATTATATAATATCATATGCATAAGTCACCGAAAGCATTTTCAAATGCGTTGTCTAAAAGTTCAATTCAGCAAACCAAAGATGAACTTGAATAAGATGAATATGCCCTTAAAGCCCATTATAAAGTTAAATATTTAAGATATCGAACAAATCACATTAAAAAAAACATTTACAAAAATTAATAACATATTGCATAAGTACTATACTTAATTTACAGAAATTGGTAACATTTTGCAAAATTGAAGTTTAGACAAACAAAAATCAAAAGTTTAACCAGTAGACACTAAACCAAAAGAAAACATCGATAACATACTAATACATTTATCTTTTAAGTTTTAACAAAAGAAAGATAACATATGAATACATCTACACAAACAAATTTAAATGATCATGCCCTCCTGGATTAGGCATGCATTTCATGGCTGCAAGCACAAGATTCTTTTTCCATACTTCCACTGCATTAACAACATAATACAAACCCTATTCATCCACCAACTTGATTTTTTCTATTAAAAAGTTCACATAGGTTATATGCCTGAAATAATAAAAGATGTTGACTAACATAGATTAAGGTATACCATCTTGGTACTTTAGAATAACAACCAACTTTCAAAGTAGGATTCTATAATAAACAAAGAAAATGAAGTTGGTACTTATTTTATAGTGCAATTATGGATATTATATAAATTACAGTTGGTTTCAATACATGTAATGGGTTATAAAACATTAAAAAAGCAACCATCTGTCAAATTGCAACTAATAAGAACATTAAATTAGCAACCAACTTTTAAAGTATGATGTTGAATAAATTAAGAAATTGAAGTTGGATACTATTTTGGAGCAAAACAATGGATTTTTTCAAAAAAAAAACAACAACGTTGGTTTCTATACATGTCATTGTAAAGAAACTTTATAACATAAACCAACTTTCAATTTTTGAAATACAATTAAGCATATATGTTAGTAGTCAATACTTACAATGAATATGCACCTACTTGCAATTAGTTTTGGTGATCAAAATGATGAAATCGATCAACAGGATGCTTTTATCCAACCCACCTACAGAAAATCAGAAAAGGAATCAATTAAAACTGTAATAAATAATGAAGAAATATGTAATATGTTTAATAAGATAGTTAATTTATATATATATATATATATATATATATATATATATATATATATATATATATATATATATATATATATATATGGGTTATTTGGAAAACAAAAAAACTCTAAAAATCATAAAAATGCATAAAAAAAATACTTAGAGATCACAAAATTTCTTTTTGAAAAAATCACAGCTTTTTATACAAAATCGGTGAAAAAAACCTTTTTTTTTACAAAAAAAAATTGATTTTTTATTTTTTTTCAGCGAATTTTAACAAAAACCTGTGATTTTTTATAAAAAAAATTCAAAAAAAATGTGTGATCTCTAAGTATTTTTTTATGTATTTTTAGGGTTTTTTTTTATTTTCCATAGAACCTAAACTAATATATATATATATATATATATATATATATATATATATATATATATATATATATATATATATATATATTAAAAACTTGTAAGAAAAGCAGTTGTATAAAAGTATTAAAAGAAAAATATAACCTAAGTTAAAACATTGTATTAGAAAAACGGAAAAAGATTCTTAAAAATGTTATATGAATTATAAAAAGTCTTAAAAAAGAAATTTATTAAAAGTTATTAAAAAAAAAGGGAATTTCTTTTTACACACCAATCTAATATCACCCTACTACACACCAATCTATTTTAATCTATTCCCAATGCAGTTTAAATTTCCAAAAAAAATATCTTTATTAATTTTTTTAGATTAGATTTCTTTTATTAAAAAAAATTGCCGTGCACATTTTTTTTTGGCTGCCACAAAAACATTAAGACCTCGTTGGTTTGCTTTTTTTTTTAAAAAAAAAAATTATAAAAACACTAACAGAGGTCTTGGGTTTATAGTTTTTTCTAAAAGAAAAATACTACTAATAGATATATATGTTTAAATAAAGTAAAATACGGAATTTAATCTTATTATATTTTTGTTCTTTATATTTTATCTTGTGGTGTTTTTTATTTTGCAACATAAAAAATATATATATCTTTGATTGGTATTTATTGGTTTATTAATATAAACAATTAATTTATTATTATAAAAGGATATCACTTGTTTAGTACTTTTTCTGGTAATCATTAAAAAACATATTTAATAATCAAATAATAATTATTTTTTAGTTTTTAGTTGTTTAATATATTATTTAACAAATACATTTTTATGTATAAATAAAAAACTGATTGTAAAAACAAATTCATCAAAATAATATTGTTTTTATTTATCAAAAAGTATACACCTAAGAAAAATGATGTAGTTTTTAAAATATAAAAAACCATCCCAAGTATAAAGTTTCAAACGCTTGTAAAAAATATTCGTAACTTTTCAACAACTCATAAATGTTTTTTAATAAAGTATTTTTTTTTGAAAAAAGTGTAAAAAAATATGTTCATTGGGAAAAGAATAAATATAAAGTTTAAAGAAACTTGAAAAATGTAAGAAAACTTATAAAAAAAAATATGTGAAAACTGTTAAGTGAAAGCTCGTACAAAAGTTTTACAAGATTAAAATATCATAAAACATTTAAAGAAAACTTGAAATATGTGTAAGTAAAAAAAAGTTTAAAAAAAATGAAAATTATTAATAAAAAAATTGTAAATCAATTTAAAAAGTATGATGTTTTGTTATAAAAAAGGTCTAGTAATATATATATATATATATATATATATATATATATATATATATATACTAATTTTTTTTACAATTAATGATATTGTGGGTTTATGAAAAAAACAAACATAAAAAATTGATGAAAATTTGTTTGGAATTTTTTTTATAATACTATCTATATAATTATATTATGAAAACAATTTTCTTTATTTAAATAAAAAATAAGTTTAAAAATTAGTCAAAATAATAATTATAATATTAATATTAAAGTTTTAATGATTAGGTTATAATAGAGTAAAGTAAAAAAAGTTAGTAAAAATGATAATTATATTATAATGATTACCTAAAAAGAAAAGAAAAAGACTATTAGTAAATGATGTATAGAAAGTGGTGTGTGTGTAAAGTAGGAAAAAAAAAAAAAAAACGAGTTTGGCGGTTGGAGGGATTTGCATTACGATAAATGCGGTACTCCGGTATTAAAAACCCACCACCGCCTAAGACACCGACGTCACTCGCAAGCAATCAAACAACTTTCTTTCTCAATCATTCTTTCTCGCAAGCAATCAAACAGCTTTCTTTCTCAATCGTTCTTTCTCGCAAGCAATCAAACAACTTTTCATCGTTCTTTCGTTAACGCGTTCTTGAATAATCATGAAACTTTTTTTGTTGTTTTTCTACGTCTTCATACTTCATCTAGCAGCGTCTTCACCAGCGTCTTCACTCGACGACGCTGATTCTTCTGTCGCATGCGCCAACCGAAACATCACCCTCACCCTCACTGCTGATTACCGAAACTTCACCCTCCCCCTCCCTGCTGATGCTGATGAAGCGTCTTCACTCGACGACGCTGATTCTTCTGTCGCATGCGCCAACCGAGACATCACCCTCACTGCTGATTACCGAAACTTCACCCTCCCCCTCCCTGCTGATGCTGATGATGATTGTGATTACAATCTGAATGTGGAAAACCGCAAGTTTTCATCAACTCATAACATTTTACCTTTTCTTCTTCTAACAATGTTTCTTGTATGTGTTTTTGTTTTACAGCCCAATAAGGAGAATGATTTCTTGGATCTTGAAGAACTGGATATCTCCCAGTCCCAATCGATTGATGATGACAAGCGAGTTCATGGTGGGATGTTGTTCCCTTTTCTAGAAGGGAAAGATCTTCAATCTACAGAAAACCCAATCCCAATGGTGGAGGAGGATGGTCTTCTTTCCAAGAACAGAAAGCTGGAAGGATTTTTGGGACGGGAATGTAATTCTGATTCATCACATAAGTCCAGTGGTGAACAGCAGTTAGCCATTGAGAATGTAAACCCAAACCAATCAAAAGCTGCAAGGGCAAATTCTCATGATGAGTGTGCAAAAGATGAGATGATGAACATGGATAAGAACTCAGAGGCGGAGGATGTTGAGCACAACCACCCTAAGGTTTCCCTATATCTCCCAAAACTTGCATTTCAAAACTTATACATAATCATGATATGTAGGATTTGTACTTGGTTAAAGCATTATATCCATTCCTTTTGGTTTTTTTCAACAAACACTTTAGCATGCAATGCATTGAGTTTCTCATCATAATCTAAATCTACCTTTTGACCCCAAATTTACAAACCCTATTTGCATTCCAACCATCACTAATGTAACTGGAAACCCATTCTATTGAGATGTTACTTGAAATTGGACAGAATATATGTATATAACCCATTTCTAAATATCAGTATAAGAAATACCAAACATGGATGGATTCTTCTAAAGAGTTTACAGGCATCCCTTACATATCCAATACCATGTAATGTAATATGCTTTTCTTTTCTCATTATGGTAAGATACTTGCAAAACCAACACAAAACATTCCATTTTCACACATCCCTGATCTCAATACATGTAGTACTTTCTGAATTGTTCATAACAAGAATTGGGGAGGTTTAGCAAGAAAAAAAACAGTTTTATTTTATCAAAATTAGGGAAATCTACGTTATTCATGCCACATCTGTCTTTTCTGATAGGTTGATATTCAGGATGAAAATGCTGGTGGTGATTTTACAACTGTCTCCCTTACTTCAACTTCATGTTTATCCAAACAAGGAGACAAGGATTTTGCTACGTGGCCACATAGGAATGTTGAAGACCAAATCTCCATCTCCCAGTCCCAATCAGATGACATTATTCAGAGCCGAGTTGATGATGAGATGTTGGTTGGTTTTCTAAAAAGGAAAAATTCATTGCATGAGCTTCAAGCTATAGAGGTATGAATGTTCTACTTATGTCAAGGGAATTTTTATTGATACCATTTCCTTTGCTATATTTTAACTTCTTTCTGCTGAATTTTCTTATGCATTATTCTTCACAGCCAACATTTACTGAAGTGGAACACGAACAATCTGGACCTACTTGGGTCAAAAGTGCAGCTTCTGAATCTGATCAAACACGTATTGATGGTGGAGTAGAGTTTCAAACTCTGGAATTGCCAATTGACTGCAAATCTGCTAGAGGTTCAAGTCAACAAACTAGTCTGCTTTCCAGGATTAGAGAACTGTTGGGCAATCCCTCAAAGAATAAAACCAGTGAGCAGCAGTTGAAGTCTTCTCATGAAGATTTTGATGCGTGTACAAGTACAGAGACAATGAATATTGATTTGGACTTGGATCTGAATCCATTGGTGGAGGAGAGTCTGCTTCCCAAGAACAGAATGGTGGAGGATGTTGAGCACAGCCCTAAGGTTTCCCTGCATGATGATGCTGCTGCTGTTTACTGTGAGGTAAGTGTCACTTCTCAAAGAACCCACCAAAACATGCATTTCAAAGCTTATACATACTCATGATATGTAGGATTTGTACCTGGTTGAAACATTAAATCCATTCCCTTTAGTTTATTTTTTTCTTCAACAAACAGTTTAGCATGCATTAAGGTTTCTCATCATAATCTACCTTTTGACCCCAAATTTACAAACCCTGTTTGCATTCCAATCATCAAGAATGTAACGGGAAACCCATTCCAATGAGATGTTACTTGAAATTGGACAGAATATATGTATATAACCCATTTCTAAATGTAAGATATACCAAACATGGATGAATATATCTAAAGAGTTTAGATGCATCCTTTACATATCCAATACCAGGAGTAAATAATATGCTTTTCTTTTCTCATTATGTCAAGTGAAGTTGTAATAGCATTTCCCTTCTTTTATTTAACATTTTTCTCCTGAATTTTCTTATGCATTATTTATTCTACACAGCCAGCATTTACTGAAGTGGAAAGTGCGGCTTCTGAATCTGATCAAACAAGCAATGGTGATGTTGATTTTACTCTGGTTGGCTCTCATGAAACTGTTACACCAGTTTCCAAGTTTTCATCTACTCAACATCAAGTTGAAGACTTCTATTATGAGGATATGGATATTTCAAGTAGCGCTGATTATGAGGATATGGATATTTCAACTAGCGCTGATTATGATTTGGTGACCATATCGGATTATTCTTATCCAACACAGCAGCAAACTGACGATTCGCTTCCTCCCTTTAATACTTGGCATACAAAACATTTTTGTTCATCTCCTGTTGATTTGGGAAATCTCTGGGACAATTCAACATCGACTACAGAGAATCCGTTTGGGGATTTAACATCATTTGTTCCACATCCACAAAAACAAGCAGCTGCAGTTTGGCCAGGTAGTTAAAATTTTTCTCTATTCCAAAGTTTGAATTACCAAAAAATGACATTGTTTGTTTTTGTCTTTGAAGGTAGGAGAGGAGACATTAAAGTGAAGGCGTTAGTGGCAGCTAAGGCTGCAAAAATACGCCAAGAAAAACAGGAGAATGAGAGGAACCGGAAGAAAGAAGCATTTCGGATGGAGATAGCGAGGCGCAAAAGAGAAAAGCAGAAAGAAGGGAAGGCAAAAAAAGGCAGGAGGAAATGGTTCCTAGAGGCGTGAACATCCACAAAAAGAAAACCATGTAGTAAGTTATTCCATTAGCACTTAGGGGGTGTTTGGCTTCGCTTTTTAGAGGCCAAAAGATCTTTTTGGAAAAGTTACAAAAAGTCAGGTTTTCATGACTTCTCCAAAAAGTTGATTTTCCTTCTTTGCAAAATCCAAAAGTAGCTTTTAGAAGTCCTTTGCCAGACATCTTTTGCCTATGATCTTTTTCTAAAAGAACTTTTAGCCATTCAAAAGCTAAGCCAAACACCCCCTTAAGCTTTGTTCTTTTTTCATTAAGTCAAAAAAAAAAAAAAAAGAATATGGTCATGAATTTATAGTTTAGTCATTTCTTAGTTGAAAGTTAACAACAAATGAACATGTGAATGCAGATGGTCAATTTCGAATTGTTTGGATTTTTTTTTTTTTTTTTAGTTTGTGACGAAATGGCTTGGCCTCCTTTGCAACAAGTTGGCAGATGGTTATATAATTTGGCTATAAGGTCCTTGAAAGTAGTTTATTAGGAAAAACATTTGATCCTAGACTTTGTAGAACATACGACAATAGAAAACTAGGATTTTGTATACTCAGGCTCCAATGAAGCAGAATGTCACAACAATCCGGCTCAAAGGCTGAAGCCAGGAAGATATCAAAAAAAAAAAAAATCAACACGGGAATATTAGTTGTTTGATAATAGATGCTGCTGCATTGCATGCATGTTGTTCAGAGTTTAATAAAGAGGTAAATGTAGAAATTTCATCTATTAAATTACTATGTTTTAGTTCCTTAAAACTTAAATACAAACTAATCTTTGACTTGCAAAAATCGAGGGAATTGAATTGAGGTAAAGGAAGGATGACAAGAATTCTGCTCCAGTCCTGTTGAAGATGTTACATACATCCACAAAAAGAAAACCACATACATAGTAAGTAAGTTATTCCTTCCAATAGCAGTTAAGTTTTTTTTTTTTTTTTGCATCAAGTCAAAAAAAGTAAAGAAAATGGTCATGAATTTGTAAATTTCTGTGACTACAGTATTAGCAGAAAAGAGTGGAGAATTTTGAGCAACAGTTAACCAATCATTCTGTTGTTACTTGTTACTCCTAAAGGTACAATTCAGACTCCAGTTAAATGTGTACTTTCAAGATCCTCACTTTACACATAATTCTTCATTTCTGTTAGAAAAAGGGTCTTTACCATCTTTTTTATATATAATGAAAAAATTGACAATGACATGTAGCAACAATTCTTATGCATCCATTCTATGTGAACAAAAGAGTCTATTAAATGAAGATAAGAGCATTAGCTTTTTTCTTAATTGTTGTTTCTTTTCTACTTAATGAGAACATGGAATAATAAATTACATGGATATTTCTATTTTAACTCAATGCAAAAAGAACGACTTAATAAACACATGTAATGTAATGTAATGTGTATACATTAACGCTAATCCTCAATCATCTGTCCCAGATTTAGGAATGATTATTTTGTTTTATATGGCATTGTCTAGGACTCTTCCAACTAACAAGCCAAGCCAAGCCAGTTGTTGACTATCAAATGGCTGACTGTGTTGAAGTTGAAGAGAACAAGGACATTTGGCATATCTGATGAAGTATTAGTATGTATCTATTTCCTTTGTTAGCATTTTCTTTGGTTGAAGGAAACTAAATGATGATTACATACATATTACATACGTGATGTTGTTAGCATATGCCCTTAAATATCTTACCCATTGGTTGGTTATATTGGTCATAGTTATGTAGGAAGCTCAAAGCTCAAAGCTCATCTCATGAGTTGACCATGAGTCAAAACTATGGGTTACCTTACCGGTTATGAAAAGGTATCATTTAATGCTCCTAGACGATATTCTGTTCTGGCTTTCCAGCTAACATAATCTAAACGAATATTGTAGGTATGTTATAAAAACTATATTAATGGGAACAGCTTATCCATCTTTTGTACAAGCCAATTTCTTTAACATGGAATATGGAAGGTATCATTTAATACTCCTACTTTATTCCTGACTCGTACTTTATTTTTTATTTTTTTACCTATAACAACAATATACTTATGTTGTAGGTTTGTCATGGTACAACGCTATAATGATGTTTTATCATCTCATCTGGTATGTATAATACCAACATACCTTACACTTTTTACCAGGCATCACATATACTACTTACCTTCTTTATCTATAATAGCAACATTTTTTACCTGAAACTTGTAACCATTCTATAAGTTTCAAGTTTTCTGAAGCAACCTGCGGGCCCGTTTGTCCACCTGGCTGATCATATTTAGGCACTTCTCCCGTATGGACACTAGGCCATGAAAGCTGCATAAAAAAAGGTCACGTGTCATTTCTTATCATCTGTATGTTATATGCTGCTGCTTTGATAATATGAAAAGGGTTAGGCTAGGCTTAAATTGTTAAAATATGTTTCCTAGTAGGTAGGAAAAAAGATTACCATTTTGCCCTTGCAAGTTTCAAACTACCTGGCATTGAGAGTTTTGTTTTTTTTACAATCACTTCTAATTGGGGTAGAGAATTACCATTATGCCCTTGCAAGTTTCTGCTTCCAAGAAAACTAACTGGCACTGAGTTTTTTTGTTTTCCTTCAATATTTAGCTTGCAGTTAATTTTTTCTATATAATTTTAATTTTTTGTTGCAGTAGCAGTGTACAAACATGGAAGAAGAAGAAGAAGGAGGGGAGGTCTAGGGTTGGATTCAAATGAAAAATTGTGTTTCTTATGCAGTAAGTATGATTTCTTCAGTTGATTACTCCTTCAGTTTTATTGTCATGTTAAAGTATGGATTTGAATTATGAAAAGTTGTGCATGAGAAACCAAAATTGCAGGTAATAATGTACTTTATTGAATTAAAGTCCTCTTGCTTATTATTTGTCTCTTTTAAATTCTTCTGTTGGTTGGTTATTCCTAGCAGCTGGGTGTGTTTAATAATTTTTTAAGTTTTAATCTGACTCACTCAGAAACATTTGTTTTCATTGTTTCAGGACATACATAGAGTTATCAAAGGAGAAAAATCATAAATGAATGAATCTTTCAAGGAATTATCTCTCAAGTTTTGACAAAACTACCTTCCAGAATCTAATCTAGATAAGTGTCCATGTCCTAGAAACTAAGTTGGGTATGGTATGTTTAATAGTTTTTAAAATTTTAATCTGACTCTTTATCATTTGATTTTGTTGTTGCAGGTCATACATAGAGTTATCAAAGGAGATAAATCATAAATGAATCAATCTTTGAAGAAATTGACAAAACTACCTTCCAGGATCTAATCTAGATAAGTGTCCATGTCCTAGCAATAGCAACTAATAATTTTGTTAAATTTTAATCTGATGCTTAATAGATGTCTGCCTTCCCCTTCCACATGAATTCATCGGTGAGTTCCATTAATAGGTATTGTTCCATTTGGTCTATTTTTGAGCAAACCATGGGTTTTCACTCTCATTTAGTTTCTTTATGTTATAGTAAAATGGAAGTATAATGTTATATGGTAAGAAAAGTGTTTATGCTAATATTAACATGTTGGTTGTTTGTGTGATAGCTTGAACTTATCTTTGGTAGGTATTATATGTCAACTGAACCAAATGTAGTGAAGGATTGGGCTGTATTTTAAGTCTTAAAGGAATTTTCAGCCCTTTATCTTTTTTGTTATTTGTTAGTTGACATCACTTCTAAATAGAAAGGTACTTTCAACAATAATCTTTAGTCCAAATATCAAATTGAGGAAATGACTTTTAATTTCCTTTTATGTGATTTTAGGTCAAAAAGTTCATTTACTCTTTACTAAGAGATAGATCATTTGCACTTATTGGATTCAGTTTTTTACTACAACCGAAAATTTTGATTTTTGACTTTAGAAATACCAAGTTTCTGGACATAACAGCTTATGTGCATGGCTATAAGTAATATAATTTAAAACAAAATAAACCCTTTTCTTTAGGAGGGCATGGGTTAAGTGTTGTTCCACCACAAAAGTTGATCTTAATTTCAAGAAACACAATTGAAGATCTACCTGTTGAACTTTCTTCATGTGCTTCCCTCGAGTTTAAAATCGCCCACTTTTTAATCCAAATATGAAAAGTATCAGTGGCATTATGGTAATTAATTATTAAAGGATTATTGTTCTTGCAGACTTTGATTTTGATCAAGGAACAAGTGCAATCTTGAAGTCACTTCAACATCTAGTGTGTGTGTTTAAAACTTGATGGTAATGGTAAATTAGACTTTTTAAAGGGAATAATATTGGTCATTTTTCGTATGTTATCTCATTCTCCTTCATTTGTAGATTCCATCAGATGGGTTTGAAGCTCTACTAAATTGTGTCTGTGTCTGTGGTTGCACCACACCAATATTGCATTGCAGGTTTGGAAAGAACACTGTTCCTATTCATTTTACTACTTTTCCATCCAAATCTTGACCTTACCGATGAAGTAGATTAAAAACAAAACTGCAAAAAATGGCCCATGTCCTAGCAATAAATAACAATTGGGTGTGGTATGTTTAATAATTTTTAAAATATAAATGCGACTCAAAAACATTTGATTACATTGTTTCAGGACATACATAGAGTGGTTATCAAAGGAGATAAATGAAATCTTTCAAAAAATCATCTGACAAAACTACCTTCCAGAATCTAATCTAGATAAGTGTCCATGTCCTAGAAACTAAGTTGGGTATGGTATGTTTAATAATTTTTAAAATTTTAATCTGACTCAGAAACATTTGATTTCATTGTTTCAGGACATACATAGCTTTACCAAAGGAGATAAATCATCAATGAATCAATCTTTCAAGGAATTATCTCTCAAGTATTGACAAAACTACCTTCCAGAATCTAATCTAGATAAGTGTCCATGTCCTAGCAAAAATAGCAACTGGGTGTGGTATGTTTAATAATTTTTAAAATTTTAATCTGATGCTTAAATTGTTATTTGAATGTAGGTACTGTTTGTGGGAAAAGTAATTCTGACTTGTTCGCGTGTTGATCTTGTCGATAGGAATAAGTGGCTTAGTTGCCACCACTTTAGGAGCACATGTTTGTTGCAGTTTTGCTTTGCAGCTTTGTTTTGTCCTCTATTTAAGTACTGTAGCTTTCCTTTGTTTAGGTGTATTCAGAAATAAAAGAAACCTCTGTTACTT